TATCCCTGCAATGGACTGGTGACCTGTCCAGGGTGTACCCTGCCTCTCGCCCATACACAGCAGGAGATAGGGACCAGCAGCCCTTGTGACCGCGCTTGGGATAAGCGTGACAGAAAATGGATGGATATATTTACATATACATAAACACACACATACGCGTGGATCTCCTCCTTGGCCCTATGTCCTGGGATGATAGTGTATGAATGAAGATTGTAAGAATCAGTGGAGGCAGGTGGAGTATTCTCCAGAGGGGGCTATAATTTCAAAATAGACCAAAAGCCAATCAAATGTACACTAAGGTATCATACCAGTATATTTACTTGAATGCCAACAGCAAAAAACATCATTAAAACACTTGTTTTTATGACACTAATTAGTCCTACCTGTCTTTATCCATGCTGGGTCAGATCCTGATGAATAAAGCGTTAGCTTTGCTGCATGCAGGTAACCAAGCCTTGTAGCTAAACCAGGTCCTAGAAAAAGAGAGTGTACCGTCTCCATCTGTCATTGGACTCCTAATTTTATTGTTAGGGTGATCAGATTCAAGAGCTTTCACCTCCAGCTTCTCCTGGTAAGTTTTGCGCTCAAAGGTGTTGCTCTAAGGAACTTCACTGAATTTTATTTTCCTTGCTCCATTTCTCTCTCCCCAATCGTCTATAACGTCTGTCTCAACCTGTCAACAGCCACACTTTATAACAGATGACTGTAACGTCAGCACTATGGTGGGATATAGAGTTGCTTTCAGCTCTGGGCGCAGGAGAGCTCCAAGATGGTCCTATCTTTTGCATTGGAGAGGAGCTTCTGCACATGTACAACTTTTAACGAGAGTCTAGGGGGAAATATAATTCCACCCTTAATTATTTCAGATCCAAAAAGCCAAAAAGCTTAATGTATATGTTTATGTAATCTAACCAAACTACACAATCCCAGTATAAGTGAAAGTAGGACAGAAGACGAAACAATAATTGCTAAAAATATGACAATACATTTCCTGTATCAACAGGAAGTAACCAGATCTCAATCCAAAGAGCATCCTTTCCATGTGATGTCAAAACAACCCAGGATTAGCAAGGTGTACCTAATAAACTGGCCACTGAGTACATAATTTAAATTAAAAAAAAAACAGAAGAAAATTTATTCAAAAAAATTCTTTAATTGAAAAGTGAGCATCTTGAAACATTTCATATGAAAGAAACAGAGAAGCTTGTAAAAATCTGCCCTGGGAGCAGTCTGTAAGGTCCGTTGGTTAAAATGTTCCCATAAGGCGGTTCCTGGAAACAGCAGGTTGTTGAAATCAAGTTTGAATGATAATTAATGCTGCAATTAGTCATAAAGTGTAAACGTTACAGAAGGCGACATATTAGAAAGTGATGAGAGGATGTATCTAACAGAGGTACAGGCAGGATTCACGGTGGCGGCGTTAGAAGGCAGCATCGAGTAGATCTGTCATTCAGCATCATTTGGCTGCACTCTAACTGTAGCATTAATCTTAGCATCTCTTGTTAGATGAAAAGACGCCAACATGACGTTTATGTCCAGCAAGGCTCTCCGTCAGTCACCTGGTCCCTCCTTGCAGTGTGAGCAAACCCGCCCGCTGCTGGTACTGATTCTGTTTGGCCTGTGCGATTTTTGCCGGCAGGTCGGCGGACTTCTCGAAGAAGTTGACCAGCGCTTGCTCGGTGAGGAGCGACGCCAGGATCTGAGCGTAGCTGACCGTCCACTCGTCGTCTGCGGCCAGAGTCCCGTCAGACGCTTTGGTTTGTTCCCGGTGGGAGGCCTCGCCAATCTGCAGCACGAGGCTGGTTACCGTAGCGATGGCCTGGAAGAGGTCATTCTCCTCAGGGTCGCCGTGGAACATGCTGTAAAGCGTCTTACAGAACTGGATAAACTCTCGCTGCAAAAGAAGAGGAGGTGGTTGAGTTTTTGCATCGAATCGGAACAGAAGGGAGCAGCTGTAGTTTTCAGCACCTGATTCATAAGCGGCAGAGGTTTGTCCACATCTTTCTCCTTCTCTTTGACCAAATCCTGCAGCATCTGCTTCAGCTGCACCTGGTAGTCTGTCACTTCTTCTCTGCCCTCTGGATCTATGCAAGTACATTAATTCAGATCAGATCCCAATAGACAACAAAAAAAAAAACTCAACAAACCACTGTGTTTATGATTACAAAATCGGGAAAAATATGAATCTGAAGGATTCAAATTTAAGCAGCAACATTCACCTCCTGCCTCCACTTAAAGTGTCTGTGACACGCTTTTCCATCAATGTCACAATGTTAGCCATTATTTTTCTCTTTACTGTGGTTAAAGATGTAATAATAGAACATTTTGACCTATAATAGGCGCATTTCTCAACAGTCGACCAAAAGTGATGCAATGATGGAAGTCATTCATCGTACCAACTTAAAGGTATAGAAGACAATCTTTTATTTCCAGGTGGATTATATAAATAAGTGATCCTCCTAATTGTTCATCATTCTGGTAACATGTTTACTTAAGGCTGTCCTACGCGCTAGTCCCCAGCTCGCTATATTTTTTCAGCATATGCACGTCCCCGCATCTCCTCAAGGAGAAATGGCTCATGCATGCTCTCACACTTGTTCAATAGGCGTACCCTCTCGGGAGCGGCTACAGGGTTGTGCATGTCCATTTTTAAGTGGAGAGGGCAGGTCTTCCACTATACTCTGAAATCAGGTTAGACGGCAGGTTGAGCAAAAACAGCCTTGATCCTTTAAAATGGTGCATTTCTGCTCAGTTGCAGGAAAACTGCGACAGCGGATGTCAGTTTGCACCAGATTTCTAGAATGAACAGGATTACTGTTACTGGAACAAAGCAGTAAAACTGATAGCGTAGTCTACAGCTGGGCTGGTCTGACTAAGCCTGGTAAAATCTGAGGAATTTTCAACAAAAAAGCTTGTCTGCCCTGAGCATTTTCCTTCTACATGGAGAAGAGCCTTCTGAGAAGGAGTAGGAAACAATTAAAGGCCTCCGTATGTCATTCTGTTGAAATGAGGACCATCTTTACTCTTTGCCCAGTGAGAAAGAAGGGAAAGGAACCAAGAAAAGCAAACAAAGTAATAACTGGAAGAAAAACGGGGTCTATGGTCCTGAACCACATGATGTTCGACATCGGGCTGTTTCCCAGTGTAGTCCTGTTTCTCTGACTGTGACTAACTGGATGTGCTCTCTTTCATGTAATGTAATGTAATTTCCCTTTGGGATTATTAAAGTATGTCTGATTCAGATTCCGATTCGGATTCATCCCCTGACATGGGAGCTGGCTCGGAGCTCGTCTGCCTGGCTGTGTGTTTCCTTGATTGGGCCGCCCTTTAAAGTTGCCTTTTGTATTCCTGCTTCTGTCTCCTTGAACACCAGTCGGCCTCAGCAGATGGCCGCTCATACAGAGTCTGGCTCTGCTGGAGGTTTCTTCCTGTTAAAAGGGAGTTTTTCCTCTCCACTGTCGCTACAAGCTTAGTGTGAGGGATTGC